ATAGTCCCTGGGTCCCCAAAATATAGACCAGGGACCTCCAAATGCCAGCTCAAGTACTCCTAAAATGCCCTTTGGGGACCCAAAATGGCCCAGGGACCCCAATATACCCCTCAGGGACCCCCCCAGATTGGCCTTAGGGACCCCAAAATTTACACCCAGGGATCCCCCAAATCCTTTTGATGCCAAAATAACCCCTGGGGAACGCCAAAATACAGCCCATGGATCCCCAAATCCCCCCAGGGCCTCCAGAATGCCCTTTGGGGACCAAAAATGGCACCAAGGACCCTCAGGTTGCCCAGAGAAGTGGTAAATGCCCCATCCCTGGCAGTGTTCAAGACCAGGTCGGACAGAGCCTTGGGTGACATGATCTCGTGCGAGATGTCCCTGTTTTCAGGGGATTAGAAATGGATGATCTTAAGGTCCTTTCCAACCCTAACTATTCTATGATAATACCCCTCACAGACCCCCCAGAACAGCTCAACGCCCCCAGACAGGCCCCCAGCAACCCTAAAACTCCACAGGAAACCCAAACTCCCCAGAGATCCCCAAACAGGGCTGTGGGGCCTTCCAAAACTCCCCCCCTAGAGATTCTTAAATGGCTTACAGCACCCCAAAATGGCCCCAGAAGAAGTCAAAATGGCCTCCAGAGACTCAAAAATGAGCCTCAGGGACCCCAAAATCCTTCTGACGTGAAAATAATCCCATGAGATGCATCAAAATCCCCCCTGGGGCCCAAAACTCTTTTGCACGGACCCCAAAACACACTTCAGGAGACCAAAAATGGCCCACAGAGACCCCAAAATACAGCTCAGGGTCCCCAGGATCGTCCCCCGCGGCACCAAAACCCCAAAGGAACCTCTCCAGCACCATGGTAGACCCCAAAGAAGTCTCAGGGGCCCCCAAATTCCCTCCAGAGAGACCCCCAAAATGAGGCTCACAGACACAGAATGGCTCAAAAAACAGTTTGGGGACTAAAAATAGCACTCAGGGACCCCAAAATGGCCCCCAAGGAGCCCCCAAATCCTTCTGACTCCAAAATAAAGCTAAAGAACCCCAAAAGTGGTCCTCAGGAACCCCTAAATTAACCCTTGGGGACTCCCCTGATCCTTTTGATCCAGATCCTTTTAACCCCTGAGGAGCCCCAAGCTCAGGGACCCCAGAATACCCCAAGAACCCCCAGCTTCCCTTTGGGGACCCAAAATAGCCTCAGGGTCCCCCAAAATATAGCTAGAGGACCCCAAAACCTTTTAGTTTAATAACAAGTATATTTAAGATGACACGGGCTGTCCAAAGAATAAATCCTGCTTTGCAAAATGGGATTAAAACAAGCAGCACGTTTTTAAACGGAGCGAACAGACGCATCCACCTCCGAATCATAGTTCAATGTGTAGGACATCCAGCTGAGATGAAAGTAGTTTAGTCCTGTAGAATTCAGGACTGGAGTGAAATCAGTCTTTCTCTCTCTGTTCAGTAGCTCTCGTTGAACTTGTCCAACATAGTACGAACGGATAATAGCCAATCACTTATTTCTAATAGAAACGATTATCAGTCTGTGTTTTGGGGTTCACAGTCTGTTCAGAGTCAGTTCAAACAAGGTATTTCATAGCAGTTTTGTGGTGCCTCCAGGTTTTCATTCATGCTCAGGAAAGGCTTCCTGATAAATGGCCATGAGGAGAGCAGAGACAGAAGGGCACGCTGCAGCCCAGGCATGCACATGATGGCCATCCCCACCGCTCATGAGGTCCAGGTCTTCACAGGACCAGGGCTGCAGCGGAGAGCAAGACTAGTAGCCACAGACCTGCATTGGGTGCAGCATCCCACGACAGGGAGATAGGGCAGGATCCCCAGCGAGGGACCTGCGGCCCAACAGCACACAAGAGCACACGCACGGCACCCACCACCACCTGCAGCAGGATTGCATCGCATGTGCCACAAGAGACTTGGAAGTAACTTGGAAAAATGAAGGTACAAAAGAGCTATCTTAAGGTTGCACGATCCACCGAACGGAGGCCACAGTCCTCTACGGTGGTCATTGACATTTGTGTCTTGAGGATCTTTGATGTTCCCACATCCTGTCATTAGCGAATTCTCCTTTTATTGGTCAAAAGAAAGGCAGAACTGCAGTTCTTTATTCAAGTAACCTTCCTCCATGCTGCAAAAGGAGAGGCAAGGGGAGCAGAGCCCAGACGCATGGACTGCACGTTTGCACTTGACTGGAGCTGGCTCACAGGGGTGCAGCCAACACGACGTTTAAAACAGAGCTGCTGAAACCTCCTGCGTATCACGTCTTCACCCAAAGCAAGGACAGAAAGCCTGCACCCCCCTGCCCTAACCCCCCAAATGTGACTCTGCATCAGGGACTGTAGCAATAGGACAAGGTGTAAGGGGTTTAAACTGAAACAGGGGAAGTTTAAGCTCAGCGGCTCAGGGCAGCGCTGGGGCCACCACAGTGGTGAGCGAGCCCCTGGGGAGTTGGAGACAGAGACACACAATACAATAGGAATTACTTCCTCTGCCCTGATGCTGCTGAGTGTTATCCTCTGATGAGGACGATGTGGTGGCAGCTGTTTCAGTGATGTGCAGCGGCTGCGCTGCACTCGCTCTGCTTTAGGGAATGCCAGCTAAAATGGTTATCCCATCCCCTAAGACTTAGATTCTTGCTGTTGTTAGCCTTTCTGGAAAAGCAAATGAGGAGCAGAGGCAGAGGCAGCCCTCACATGAATGGTCAGGAGCCAAAAGCCCCCTTGCCCCGCCTCCTCAAAGGTGATTGTCTGTCCTGGGCCCACTGACAGCCATCAGGCAACGAGCTGGGCTTCCGGGTTCCCCTCTTGGGCGGGGAGCTGCAGCCGCGAGGCGAGGCCGCGGCCTGAGGACGAGGAGGGTTCCGGCCCTAAGGCGGCGGCTTCGGACACTGATCCGGTGGAGTGGATGCTGCGAGTTGCGCTGCGGGCCCTGGAGACATCGAGCCGGCGGCATTCCTCCCCTTTCCAGCGTCACAGAGCGCAGGCGGGGAGCGTGAAGGCGCTCCTCTCACCCACACGCCCTGGGGAGCCCTCTGAAGACAAAAAGACGAGGAAAACGTGCCCCCAAAATACAGGGGCTGTTTCTGCATTCAAATCACGGGCAGGAAGGTACCTCAAGGTGCCCCTGTGTGAAAATAACCCAGAGTTGATGTGAGCCTTTCTGGAGCATGAGCTTGTTGTACAGGAAGGGATGTGGAGGTGGGCTGGGCTGTAGAGCTGGGGCTCACATCCAGCACAGGAGCAAGCAGGCTGTGGCATCTTCATCCCTGGAGGTGGCTGCTGGGGACAAATGCCCCCCAGCAGACAGAAGCACCCACCCATGGGACACGACACCAGGGCACCTGCAGGCAGCGCACAGGGGCACCAGGGAAACACACACCCTTGGTGTGATCGTTTCAGCTTTATTGATGGAGTCAGGGCCGTGGTGCTGCGGTGGCACAGAAACATCGGTGGCCGGAGGGCTCTGCTGCTAACACTGGGCACAGGTCAGCAGCAGGTCCTCTTCAGAGAAAGCAACATGTCCTGGGAGCCTTTCCAAAGGGCCCTTGTAGCTGCTGTGAACTGAGGCCCCGTGACAATGATGGTAATGTTGTCATTGTGCAGCTCTGTAGCAGTTACTACCCAGAGTTTGGGTATCGTAAAGCATGCTCAGGGTACAGAGCCAGAGGTCCTTGCTGTCCAGGTGCAAAGTAGGAACGCTGCCACCTCTGATGGGAGGATACGGTCTGGTTTTGGAGGATGTTTCCCCTCGTGCAGAGGAGCAAAACCTGCTCCCCCTCATGTTGGACTTTGCCTCAAAACACAGTGCTGCCTTCCTGTCGTGACGTTGCCTGCTGCCGCTGATGTCACAAAGCACTGTTGGTGTTGAGGCAGACACAGCAGGGTGGAAGATCAGATGTCAAGAGACTGCAGCTCTTGAGGAAACAGACACCACAGTGGTTGGCTTGCTACTGAGCTAGCAAGATGCCTGTTGCCTGCACCTCAGTGCATAAAGAGAGAAAGTCATGGTGGAGCCAAGTTCTGAAAGGGTATGTTTGAACCCTCTGCAGAATGGGTTACGACCCTGAGCTTTCCTGCTTCTTGGAAGACCATAAGAGGACTGTTTATTTTTAATGAAGTGCATGCTGTGAGCCTGTTAGAACAAGCAGGAGGACCTTCCATCTTCCAGAGCGGTGTGTGCTGTCTCTGGGCAGATCAGGCTTCGTGGCACATTGGACTAGCCACCAAGATGTTTCCTTGGTATTTCCTTAGTTCCACATGGATTACCAGCATGCTTTTACATTCATCCCTCCCTCCATCTTCACCCAGTCTGCATTTGCCTGCATTTATGCAAAGAAAAGGGCCAGTGATAGCCTGGCTGCTAAAGAAATGCTGCTGAAGGGGAGATACAAAACCCCTCCTGCCTTGTGAGCTCTCGAACTGTCGGGGGATAGGCTGAAGCCTCTCTACCGCCACGGACATGAATTGTGGTCGCAGCTTTTGTTGCAAGTCCTTCTTCTATTCCCGAGTTAATCCAGAGCCCTTCGTCACTAACCCAACAGTGCCAGCTGCTGTTGTACCAAATACCCCGCTGGTGCTGTTGGTGACAACTCAGCTTATGCAGGACCAAGGCAATCCTCACTCCAGGAATGCTAGGTTCAAGACCTGCCGTCCCTACTGCTGCTCTCAGGTCTGCTGCTGAACTGCATGGGTGCCACCAGCTTCACCATCCTTTTCCTCTTTGCTGCTCCGTAGGCAAACGAAGGCTCTGAAGACAGTGGTGCTGCTGCTGCTCATGAGTCTGCTCTTGTTCGGTGAGTCTCGGTGGAACTCGGAGCTGAGGACTGTGCTTTAGGAGATAGGGCTCCATGCGCTCTGACCAGAGTAGCCCAGCAAAGAGTAGGAAGAACCGAGAGAGGTGTGCCAGTCCCCCACGCTTCAGAGGAATGGGTGCGGAGGCACGGAAGGGCTCAGCCACTTCTCTTAAGGCGATGGAGGGGCAGCGGCTAACCTCCCCTGCCCGCGGGAGCTGAAAAGCTTCTGCGGGACAAGGAGCATGTTCCGTGGGAAGGAATATCTGTGTACTGTGGAGCCCTCTTTCACAACCTTTTTCAAAGACTACAAGAGGAGAAACAACTATGGCACCTGGGAGAGCCAGGGAAAGGGGAGCCGAGGCGTAACCCAGCCTTAGACCAAGTTCTAAGTGTAAGGAGAGTTTTGGTGTGTGTCTAACAGGTGTTCACCACGTGGGACTGCTGGGTGAAGAAGGCCTCTGGAGGGCTGCAGCAGGATGCCAGGCCTTCATCTCCTCCTACATTCGGCATCCCCAACAGCAGGTGACGTTCAGGTTTCTTCAGATCGAGACTGGTTCTACCAGGACATAAAGTACCACTCAGTAAAACACTGTGGCTAGGGCTGGGGACAGTTGGCATCCTGGCAGGTCATTCAGGTGAAGGTCAGCTGGACCGAATATCAGTGTCTCCACAGCCCGTGGCACTGCACACAGCCGATGAAAAGAATTATTAGGCAGACTTGGGCCTGCATAGGTTCCAGCAAAGCACTGCTCTGTTGCCGTTTGTGATGACTGTTCCCTTCACTGTTGTTCCAGGAGTGTTTCCACCTCTCTGGATGGGACCAGAAGGCTCGGAGGTACAGATTATTTCCTCTTGACTCGATGGTGATTTAGAGGAGCTCTGCCCCTGGGCCTCACCAGGACATTGTTTCTGTCCTGCCTCACAGAGACTTCACCTAGCACAGCTTCCTGACCTTCTCCCGTTGCCCTTTCTTCCTGTCTGTCAAACGGTCACCTATAGCTCCCCACATCCACTAGAGGACTGGGGCCACCCATCTGTCACCCTTTTGCTTGGCCTGGGCTGTTTACAGCAAAGCAGGGGAGAGAGATGGTGTGGAGAAGAACCATCTGGCAGCAGCAGCCACCTTTCCCTTGCCCTCTGTGTGTCTTGCAGCTTTCCTTGTTTATGTCTGAGCTGTTCTAGTTAGTATTTTCTATAGGGAATACCACCTGCTGCCCTTCAGATCTGCTCTTGCCTGGCTTTGATAAGACATTGGCACATGTAATAGGGAGCGTGGCGTCTTTGGGCACACTGGAGGTGTTCCTCAGTTTCCCCAAATGTTCCCGGGCAGCCAGGAAGCTGCTGCTCAGCCTGAAACTCTAAGCACTTTGGAACTACCTCTCCCACCTGCTTAAGACATGCCTGCCCTGCCAGTCATTCAGAGCCAGGCTTCTTAACCTTGCTCGCACGCCCGTGGTGTTCCAGAGGCCAGCCACAACAGTTACAGTCTCTGTTTCTTGCTTTTCTAGGCCAGCAGGGAACGACATAGGAGAAGAACTGAGCAGAGCCCAGACCCTCAAAGAACAGCTCCAGAAGCTCCAGGAAGAGTTTTATCACCTGCATTGGAGCATAAAGGATGTCACCGAGCGTGCTCTCCATGAAGCCCTGAAGCAGTCTAAGCTCCCAGGCTTTTCTGGATCAGGAAGGGCATGCTGCAGAAGGCTCTCCTCAGAGGTTTCTTTCCTCCCTCCAGACTTTATCCTTCTACAGTTCCCTGTCCTGGCTAGCCAAAAGGCTGGCGTGGCTGGAACAAGTGCTGTGCGTGACCACGCTTCCTTTCCTCTTGCTCCACACTTCTGTATGGGGGAAGAGAGCGCCGTGATGGGAGTTACAGTTGCTTTACTTACACCTTCCTCAGAGTAGAGCAAGCCTGGGAGGTTTCCAGGCAATCTGGGCGTTCCTCACAGCTGAGTTGAACCTCATCCCCCTAACCCTTGGCTGGCCTTGCAGGGGAGATGATTGTCCCATTCCTTTCCCTTCTAACAGGCGCTTGCCTTTGTTCTCTTCCCCAGGCTGTTCAAGAGGTCATCAATCAAGTCTTGGAGAAGCTGGAAGAAAGCCAAGTCCCAGTGACTGATTACGCCCTCAGATCATCAGGTGCTGTGCCATTGTACACAGACTCGTTCCAAAGTGCTTCCTGTGCCCACTGACGAGATGGGCCCTGGAACAGGCTCAGTGGTAGGAGAGAAAGGGCAAGAAGTCAAGGGCCACAGCGTGCCCTAAAAATGTACCCATTGACGGACTCTGGAAGCGGCTGGACTCCATCTGAAGCGCAGAAAGCCTAGCTGACGTTGCAGCTGACATTACCACAGCCTGATGAGTCCCTGCTCTGTGTTCCAGAGGGGTCACGCCAGGAAGAAAGAGGGGAATCTCACTGCAGGAGATGGAGGACTACTTAAAAGCATTTCTCAAGTGAACAGTGCAATATTCCTCCTGACACTGCTCAATGATCGTGCTCATGTTTTAATTTCCAGGGGCTGCTGTCATTCCCGAATGCACAAGTCCATCCTTCCGGAATAGGGCAGAAAAAGTCATCTTGTATTCCCTGCCACTGGTGGATTATGTGAGATCTCCTGAGCTTATTCTTGAGGTAGGAGCACCAAGAAGCAGGAAAAAAAAGCAAAAGGGGGGGTGGGGGGGATGCGCACATGCTGCTGAGAGCTGCCTTTACCCTTATCTTTGCTCCTCAAAGCTTTCTTTTCCTGTCACATTCTTGTATGGACCCACTCACTGTCCCCCTGCTGAGTATTTCCTCTCCCAGACTGCCTCAGGTCCTCCGTTTGAGCTTCTAGCAGGCAGGCTTGGTCCTGCAGCCTTTGTCTTCCTCGTCCCTGTGCAAACTGTCAGCATGGCTGAGAGCCTGCACTGCTGGAGGGCCCCACTCTGTGTTGGCAAGCCCTCCTTGGCACTGATCGTGGGAACACACCCAGCTGCCTGCCTTCACAGTGCTTCTGCAGTGCTGAAGGGGTCTTGTAACATGTGGATTCTCACAACGGCTGCTCCGTTTGGTACTGGCAGGGTCTGACCCAAGGCATTGGATGCTGTTTGGAGCAGAGCTGATGGGCCAGATCAGTTCTTACTCCATGATGCTCATGGCAGAAACGAAAGCCGGGGCACTCTTCTCCACGGGAACGTACTTTCTTCTTCTCCTTTCAGAAGGAAAATCATCTAGGAAACTGCTGGCCCTTCCACGGAAGTCAGGGACACGTCCTCATCAAGCTCTCTGTGCCAGTCATTCCCAGAGCAGTCACCATGGACCATGTCTCAGGGCCAGAGCTCCATGGAGACAGTATGTCCAGTGCTCCAAAGGACTTTGCTGTCTACGTAAGTGATTTCTCTGAGTTGGGGGCAGAGGGTTGCTCAGCATTTCTAAGCAGGGGGTGAAGACGGGTCAGAACCCAGAGGCCTGCGGCTCCCTCTTGCCTTGCAGAAGAAACAGGCTCCTTGGAGTTGCTCCCTTTCCACTGGATTCCTCTTTTATCCAATATAGCACACAAACGGAAGCTTCTGGGCCAAGACTCTGTGTGCCCCAGGAGCCACAGGGAAAATGAGCTGGCACAGTGTCTGCCCCTTGGAACTTCTTGGCTCCCAACGCCAGTGAGCATTGGTGATCCTCAGGGATCGTTACCCTGGGAATGTCTGCTCCTTTTCTGACAGCCTACACTCGTTAAGTAGGCAAGTGTGGCAGCATGCTGGCTAGCTTCAGCTTCTCGTCTTTTCCTTGTGATTATCTTCCTTGGACTATGCAGATGAAATGAATCAGGACTTCACCAACAGAAGTTAAGTCTTCCCATGGTGGACCAGGGCACTCATGTTTTCTCCACCCCATCTTTCTCTAGGGGGTGACGGAAGAAAAGGAGGAGCAGTTCCTGGGACAGTTTGTTTTCCTGGCACCACTGAATCCCACCCAGACCTTTCGGCTAAAGGTACGGGGACAAAGAGGGAGGAGAACAGAGAGGGGAGGAGAGCAGAGGGGAGGAGAGGAGAGCTGCACTTTGCTGGGGAGAAGCTTCCGTGCCAAAGGGCTCGAGGCAGCATTCTCCCGGAGAATGCCATGTGCCATGCTGTCCCTCCTTCTGCTTTAATCTCCTAATGGCATATGCCTGGAATGCATTCTGCTTCACTTTTGGTTTTAAGCTTCAGTGCTGACAACCACCGGTGCTGAAGCTGAAATCAGCTTGGCTGTCTGGACTCCAAGTGCCTACAGGTGGCCACATCCACTCGGAAGACACTGCTACTGGCCTGCTCGTTAAAGACTAGAAATACGGGGCTTTCTGAGGATGCTGTTGTTTCTGGTATCGAGGCCAGCTAGACAGCGAGGCCATTCTGTGCCATGGCTTTCTAGAGAAGGCAATGAGACATGATAGGGACACCACTGGGTCTTCTGACAGGGGAAGCATGTGCCCCAAAGTAGGCTAGAAGTGATTGCCAATCGAGTCAGTACAATTTCAGGTAGATTCCTGAAATTTCCTTTCCTGTTCTTTTGGCCAAATGAGGTAGAGCAGTGGAAGAATGTCTCGGCCACAACCCTCCCAGGGCAGTCAGGTGTTGAACAAGTCCATTGCTGCAGCACTACGTCAGTAGTTGAATGCCAGAGAGCAAAAGACAACTCATCTCTTCTCTTCCTTTCAGAACGAGCTCTCCGGGTTTGTGAATTACATCCTGCTGCAAGTGCTGAGCAACTGGGGCCACCCGGACTACACCTGCGTGTATCGGTTCAGGGTGCACGGTGATCCTCTCAGCGAGGAGGGGAAGGTGCCACTTCGATCTGACAACAAAGCTCCTTGATTGTCATTGAGTGTTTTGCCTGTGATAATAAAGCTCCTTGATTGTCATTGAGTGTTTTGCCTGAGATGCTAACGGGTAAGAGAATTCCTGCCCTTCTCTCCACCCACAAGCTTATGGGAGACTTCCCTGGAGGGAGAGGTGATGGGAAAAAGGACTAAGAACTGTTTCCTACGGACACATTAGTTTGGGGGGTTACACACACAATGTGTGTGCAGTTCAAGTGAAAAAAGGCTCCCGAAGACTCCAAAACGGGCAATAGGGAACCCCAACGTTTACCCTTAAAGGCTCCCCCCATCTTTTTGACCCCAGTATAGTCCCTGGGTCCCCAAAATATAGACCAGGGACCTCCAAATGCCAGCTCAAGTACTCCTAAAATGCCCTTTGGGGACCCAAAATGGCCCAGGGACCCCAATATACCCCTCAGGGACCCCCCCAGATTGGCCTTAGGGACCCCAAAATTTACACCCAGGGATCCCCCAAATCCTTTTGATGCCAAAATAACCCCTGGGGAACGCCAAAATACAGCCCATGGATCCCCAAATCCCCCCAGGGCCTCCAGAATGCCCTTTGGGGACCAAAAATGGCACCAAGGACCCTCAGGTTGCCCAGAGAAGTGGTAAATGCCCCATCCCTGGCAGTGTTCAAGACCAGGTCGGACAGAGCCTTGGGTGACATGATCTCGTGCGAGATGTCCCTGTTTTCAGGGGATTAGAAATGGATGATCTTAAGGTCCTTTCCAACCCTAACTATTCTATGATAATACCCCTCACAGACCCCCCAGAACAGCTCAACGCCCCCAGACAGGCCCCCAGCAACCCTAAAACTCCACAGGAAACCCAAACTCCCCAGAGATCCCCAAACAGGGCTGTGGGGCCTTCCAAAACTCCCCCCCTAGAGATTCTTAAATGGCTTACAGCACCCCAAAATGGCCCCAGAAGAAGTCAAAATGGCCTCCAGAGACTCAAAAATGAGCCTCAGGGACCCCAAAATCCTTCTGACGTGAAAATAATCCCATGAGGTGCATCAAAATCCCCCCTGGGGCCCAAAACTCTTTTGCACGGACCCCAAAACACACTTCAGGAGACCAAAAATGGCCCACAGAGACCCCAAAATACAGCTCAGGGTCCCCAGGATCGTCCCCCGCGGCACCAAAACCCCAAAGGAACCTCTCCAGCACCATGGTAGACCCCAAAGAAGTCTCAGGGGCCCCCAAATTCCCTCCAGAGAGACCCCCAAAATGAGGCTCACAGACACAGAATGGCTCAAAAAACAGTTTGGGGACTAAAAATAGCACTCAGGGACCCCAAAATGGCCCCCAAGGAGCCCCCAAATCCTTCTGACTCCAAAATAAAGCTAAAGAACCCCAAAAGTGGTCCTCAGGAACCCCTAAATTAACCCTTGGGGACTCCCCTGATCCTTTTGATCCAGATCCTTTTAACCCCTGAGGAGCCCCAAGCTCAGGGACCCCAGAATACCCCAAGAACCCCCAGATTCCCTTTGGGGACCCAAAATAGCCTCAGGGTCCCCCAAAATATAGCTAGAGGACCCCAAAACCTTTTAGTTTAATAACAAGTATATTTAAGATGACACGGGCTGTCCAAAGAATAAATCCTGCTTTGCAAAATGGGATTAAAACAAGCAGCACGTTTTTAAACGGAGCGAACAGACGCATCCACCTCTGAATCATAGTTCAATGTGTAGGACATCCAGCTGAGATGAAAGTAGTTTAGTCCTGTAGAATTCAGGACTGGAGTGAAATCAGTCTTTCTCTCTCTGTTCAGTAGCTCTCGTTGAACTTGTCCAACATAGTACGAACGGATAATAGCCAATCACTTATTTCTAATAGAAACGATTATCAGTCTGTGTTTTGGGGTTCACAGTCTGTTCAGAGTCAGTTCAAACAAGGTATTTCATAGCAGTTTTGTGGTGCCTCCAGGTTTTCATTCATGCTCAGGAAAGGCTTCCTGATAAATGGCCATGAGGAGAGCAGAGACAGAAGGGCACGCTGCAGCCCAGGCATGCACATGATGGCCATCCCCACCGCTCATGAGGTCCAGGTCTTCACAGGACCAGGGCTGCAGCGGAGAGCAAGACTAGTAGCCACAGACCTGCATTGGGTGCAGCATCCCACGACAGGGAGATAGGGCAGGATCCCCAGCGAGGGACCTGCGGCCCAACAGCACACAAGAGCACACGCACGGCACCCACCACCACCTGCAGCAGGATTGCATCGCATGTGCCACAAGAGACTTGGAAGTAACTTGGAAAAATGAAGGTACAAAAGAGCTATCTTAAGGTTGCACGATCCACCGAACGGAGGCCACAGTCCTCTACGGTGGTCATTGACATTTGTGTCTTGAGGATCTTTGATGTTCCCACATCCTGTCATTAGCGAATTCTCCTTTTATTGGTCAAAAGAAAGGCAGAACTGCAGTTCTTTATTCAAGTAACCTTCCTCCATGCTGCAAAAGGAGAGGCAAGGGGAGCAGAGCCCAGACGCATGGACTGCACGTTTGCACTTGACTGGAGCTGGCTCACAGGGGTGCAGCCAACACGACGTTTAAAACAGAGCTGCTGAAACCTCCTGCGTATCACGTCTTCACCCAAAGCAAGGACAGAAAGCCTGCACCCCCCTGCCCTAACCCCCCAAATGTGACTCTGCATCAGGGACTGTAGCAATAGGACAAGGTGTAAGGGGTTTAAACTGAAACAGGGGAAGTTTAAGCTCAGCGGCTCAGGGCAGCGCTGGGGCCACCACAGTGGTGAGCGAGCCCCTGGGGAGTTGGAGACAGAGACACACAATACAATAGGAATTACTTCCTCTGCCCTGATGCTGCTGAGTGTTATCCTCTGATGAGGACGATGTGGTGGCAGCTGTTTCAGTGATGTGCAGCGGCTGCGCTGCACTCGCTCTGCTTTAGGGAATGCCAGCTAAAATGGTTATCCCATCCCCTAAGACTTAGATTCTTGCTGTTGTTAGCCTTTCTGGAAAAGCAAATGAGGAGCAGAGGCAGAGGCAGCCCTCACATGAATGGTCAGGAGCCAAAAGCCCCCTTGCCCCGCCTCCTCAAAGGTGATTGTCTGTCCTGGGCCCACTGACAGCCATCAGGCAACGAGCTGGGCTTCCGGGTTCCCCTCTTGGGCGGGGAGCTGCAGCCGCGAGGCGAGGCCGCGGCCTGAGGACGAGGAGGGTTCCGGCCCTAAGGCGGCGGCTTCGGACACTGATCCGGTGGAGTGGATGCTGCGAGTTGCGCTGCGGGCCCTGGAGACATCGAGCCGGCGGCATTCCTCCCCTTTCCAGCGTCACAGAGCGCAGGCGGGGAGCGTGAAGGCGCTCCTCTCACCCACACGCCCTGGGGAGCCCTCTGAAGACAAAAAGACGAGGAAAACGTGCCCCCAAAATACAGGGGCTGTTTCTGCATTCAAATCACGGGCAGGAAGGTACCTCAAGGTGCCCCTGTGTGAAAATAACCCAGAGTTGATGTGAGCCTTTCTGGAGCATGAGCTTGTTGTACAGGAAGGGATGTGGAGGTGGGCTGGGCTGTAGAGCTGGGGCTCACATCCAGCACAGGAGCAAGCAGGCTGTGGCATCTTCATCCCTGGAGGTGGCTGCTGGGGACAAATGCCCCCCAGCAGACAGAAGCACCCACCCATGGGACACGACACCAGGGCACCTGCAGGCAGCGCACAGGGGCACCAGGGAAACACACACCCTTGGTGTGATCGTTTCAGCTTTATTGATGGAGTCAGGGCCGTGGTGCTGCGGTGGCACAGAAACATCGGTGGCCGGAGGGCTCTGCTGCTAACACTGGGCACAGGTCAGCAGCAGGTCCTCTTCAGAGAAAGCAACATGTCCTGGGAGCCTTTCCAAAGGGCCCTTGTAGCTGCTGTGAACTGAGGCCCCGTGACAATGATGGTAATGTTGTCATTGTGCAGCTCTGTAGCAGTTACTACCCAGAGTTTGGGTATCGTAAAGCATGCTCAGGGTACAGAGCCAGAGGTCCTTGCTGTCCAGGTGCAAAGTAGGAACGCTGCCACCTCTGATGGGAGGATACGGTCTGGTTTTGGAGGATGTTTCCCCTCGTGCAGAGGAGCAAAACCTGCTCCCCCTCATGTTGGACTTTGCCTCAAAACACAGTGCTGCCTTCCTGTCGTGACGTTGCCTGCTGCCGCTGATGTCACAAAGCACTGTTGGTGTTGAGGCAGACACAGCAGGGTGGAAGATCAGATGTCAAGAGACTGCAGCTCTTGAGGAAACAGACACCACAGTGGTTGGCTTGCTACTGAGCTAGCAAGATGCCTGTTGCCTGCACCTCAGTGCATAAAGAGAGAAAGTCATGGTGGAGCCAAGTTCTGAAAGGGTATGTTTGAACCCTCTGCAGAATGGGTTACGACCCTGAGCTTTCCTGCTTCTTGGAAGACCATAAGAGGACTGTTTATTTTTAATGAAGTGCATGCTGTGAGCCTGTTAGAACAAGCAGGAGGACCTTCCATCTTCCAGAGCGGTGTGTGCTGTCTCTGGGCAGATCAGGCTTCGTGGCACATTGGACTAGCCACCAAGATGTTTCCTTGGTATTTCCTTAGTTCCACATGGATTACCAGCATGCTTTTACATTCATCCCTCCCTCCATCTTCACCCAGTCTGCATTTGCCTGCATTTATGCAAAGAAAAGGGCCAGTGATAGCCTGGCTGCTAAAGAAATGCTGCTGAAGGGGAGATACAAAACCCCTCCTGCCTTGTGAGCTCTCGAACTGTCGGGGGATAGGCTGAAGCCTCTCTACCGCCACGGACATGAATTGTGGTCGCAGCTTTTGTTGCAAGACCTTCTTCTATTCCCGAGTTAATCCAGAGCCCTTCGTCACTAACCCAACAGTGCCAGCTGCTGTTGTACCAAATACCCCGCTGGTGCTGTTGGTGACAACTCAGCTTATGCAGGACCAAGGCAATCCTCACTCCAGGAATGCTAGGTTCAAGACCTGCCGTCCCTACTGCTGCTCTCAGGTCTGCTGCTGAACTGCATGGGTGCCACCAGCTTCACCATCCTTTTCCTCTTTGCTGCTCCGTAGGCAAACGAAGGCTCTGAAGACAGTGGTGCTGCTGCTGCTCATGAGTCTGCTCTTGTTCGGTGAGTCTCGGTGGAACTCGGAGCTGAGGACTGTGCTTTAGGAGATAGGGCTCCATGCGCTCTCTCCTATCTCCTAAAGCCTCCCAGCAAAGAGTAGGAAGAACCGAGAGAGGTGTGCCAGTCCCCCACGCTTCAGAGGAATGGGTGCGGAGGCACGGAAGGGCTCAGCCACTTCTCTTAAGGCGATGGAGGGGCAGCGGCTAACCTCCCCTGCCCCCGGGAGCTGAAAAGCTTCTGCGGGACAAGGAGCATGTTCCGTGGGAAGGAATACCTGTGTACTGTGGAGCCCTCTTTCACAACCTTTTTCAAAGACTACAAGAGGAGAAACAACTATGGCACCTGGGAGAGCCAGGGAAAGGGGAGCCGAGGCGTAACCCAGCCTTAGACCAAGTTCTAAGTGTAAGGAGAGTTTTGGTGTGTGTCTAACAGGTGTTCACCACGTGGGACTGCTGGGTGAAGAAGGCCTCTGGAGGGCTGCAGCAGGATGCCAGGCCTTCATCTCCTCCTACATTCGGCATCCCCAACAGCAGGTGACGTTCAGGTTTCTTCAGATCGAGACTGGTTCTACCAGGACATAAAGTACCACTCAGTAAAACACTGTGGCTAGGGCTGGGGACAGTTGGCATCCTGGCAGGTCATTCAGGTGAAGGTCAGCTGGACCGAATATCAGTGTCTCCACAGCCCGTGGCACTGCACACAGCCGATGAAAAGAATTATTAGGCAGACTTGGGCCTGCATAGGTTCCAGCAAAGCACTGCTCTGTTGCCGTTTGTGATGACTGTTCCCTTCACTGTTGTTCCAGGAGTGTTTCCACCTCTCTGGATGGGACCAGAAGGCTCGGAGGTACAGATTATTTCCTCTTGACTCGATGGTGATTTAGAGGAGCTCTGCCCCTGGGCCTCACCAGGACATTGTTTCTGTCCTGCCTCACAGAGACTTCACCTAGCACAGCTTCCTGACCTTCTCCCGTTGCCCTTTCTTCCTGTCTGTCAAACGGTCACCTATAGCTCCCCACATCCACTAGAGGACTGGGGCCACCCATCTGTCACCCTTTTGCTTGGCCTGGGCTGTTTACAGCAAAGCAGGGGAGAGAGATGGTGTGGAGAAGAACCATCTGGCAGCAGCAGCCACCTTTCCCTTGCCCTCTGTGTGTCTTGCAGCTTTCCTTGTTTATGTCTGAGCTGTTCTAGTTAGTATTTTCTATAGGGAATACCACCTGCTGCCCTTCAGATCTGCTCTTGCCTGGCTTTGATAAGACATTGGCACATGTAATAGGGAGCGTGGCGGCTTTGGGCACACTGGAGGTGTTCCTCAGTTTCCCCAAATGTTCCCGGGCAGCCAGGAAGCTGCTGCTCAGCCTGAAACTCTAAGCACTTTGGAACTACCTCTCCCACCTGCTTAAGACATGCCTGCCCTGCCAGTCATTCAGAGCCAGGCTTCTTAACCTTGCTCGCACGCCCGTGGTGTTCCAGAGGCCAGCCACAACAGTTACAGTCTCTGTTTCTTGCTTTTCTAGGCCAGCAGGGAACGACATAGGAGAAGAACTGAGCAGAGCCCAGACCCTCAAAGAACAGCTCCAGAAGCTCCAGGAAGAGTTTTATCACCTGCATTGGAGCATAAAGGATGTCACCGAGCGTGCTCTCCATGAAGCCCTGAAGCAGTCTAAGCTCCCAGGCTTTTCTGGATCAGGAAGGGCATGCTGCAGAAGGCTCTCCTCAGAGGTTTCTTTCCTCCCTCCAGACTTTATCCTTCTACAGTTCCCTGTCCTGGCTAGCCAAAAGGCTGGCGTGGCTGGAACAAGTGCTGTGCGTGACCACGCTTCCTTTCCTCTTGCTCCACACTTCTGTATGGGGGAAGAGAGCGCCGTGATGGGAGTTACAGTTGCTTTACTTACACCTTCCTCAGAGTAGAGCAAGCCTGGGAGGTTTCCAGGCAATCTGGGCGTTCCTCACAGCTGAGTTGAACCTCGTCCCCCTAACCCTTGGCTGGCCTTGCAGGGGAGATGATTGTCCCATTCCTTTCCCTGCTAACAGGCGCTTGCCTTTGTTCTCTTCCCCAGGCTGTTCAAGAGGTCATCAATCAAGTCTTGGAGAAGCTGGAAGAAAGCCAAGTCCCAATGACTGATTACGCCCTCAGATCATCAGGTGCTGTGCCATTGTACACAGACTCGTTCCAAAGTGCTTCCTGTGCCCACTGACGAGATGGGCCCTGGAACAGGCTCAGTGGTAGGAGAGAAAGGGCAAGAAGTCAAGGGCCACAGCGTGCCCTAAAAATGTACCCATTGACGGACTCTGGAAGCGGCTGGACTCCATCTGAAGAGCAGAAAGCCTAGCTGACGTTGCAGCTGACATTACCACAGCCTGATGAGTCCCTGCTCTGTGTTCCAGAGGGGTCACGCCAGGAAGAAAGAGGGGAATCTCACTGCAGGAGATGGAGGACTACTTAAAAGCATTTCTCAAGTGAACAGTGCAATATTCCTCCTGACACTGCTCAATGATCGTGCTCATGTTTTAATTTCCAGGGGCTGCTGTCATTCCCGAATGCACAAGTCCATCCTTCCGGAATAGGGCAGAAAAAGTCATCTTGTATTCCCTGCCACTGGTGGATTATGTGAGATCTCCTGAGCTTATTCTTGAGGTAGGAGCACCAAGAAGCAGGAAAAAAAAGCAAAAGGGGGGGTGGGGGGGATGCGCACATGCTGCTGAGAGCTGCCTTTACCCTTATCTTTGCTCCTCAAAGCTTTCTTTTCCTGTCACATTCTTGTATGGACCCACTCACTGTCCCCCTGCTGAGTATTTCCTCTCCCAGACTGCCTCAGGTCCTCCGTTTGAGCTTCTAGCAGGCAGGCTTGGTCCTGCAGCCTTTGTCTTCCTCGTCCCTGTGCAAACTGTCAGCATGGCTGAGAGCCTGCACTGCTGGAGGGCCCCACTCTGTGTTGGCAAGCCCTCCTTGGCACTGATCGTGGGAACACACCCAGCTGCCTGCCTTCACAGTGCTTCTGCAGTGCTGAAGGGGTCTTGTAACATGTGGATTCTCACAACGGCTGCTCCGTTTGGTACTGGCAGGGTCTGACCCAAGGCATTGGATGCTGTTTGGAGCAGAGCTGATGGGCCAGATCAGTTCTTACTCCATGATGCTCATGGCAGAAACGAAAGCCGGGGCACTCTTCTCCACGGGAACGTACTTTCTTCTTCTCCTTTCAGAAGGAAAATCATCTAGGAAACTGCTGGCCCTTCCACGGAAGTCAGGGACACGTCCTCATCAAGCTCTCTGTGCCAGTCATTCCCAGAGCAGTCACCATGGACCATGTCTCAGGGCCAGAGCTCCATGGAGACAGTATGTCCAGTGCTCCAAAGGACTTTGCTGTCTACGTAAGTGATTTCTCTGAGTTGGGGGCAGAGGGTTGCTCAGCATTTCTAAGCAGGGGGTGAAGACGGGTCAGAACCCAGAGGCCTGCGGCTCCCTCTTGCCTTGCAGAAGAAACAGGCTCCTTGGAGTTGCTCCCTTTCCACTGGATTCCTCTTTTATCCAATATAGCACACAAACGGAAGCTTCTGGGCCAAGACTCTGTGTGCCCCAGGAGCCACAGGGAAAATGAGCTGGCACAGTGTCTGCCCCTTGGAACTTCTTGGCTCCCAACGCCAGTGAGCATTGGTGATCCTCAGGGATCGTTACCCTGGGAATGTCTGCTCCTTTTCTGACAGCCTACACTCGTTAAGTAGGCAAGTGTGGCAGCATGCTGGCTAGCTTCAGCTTCTCGTCTTTTCCTTGTGATTATCTTCCTTGGACTATGCAGATGAAATGAATCAGGACTTCACCAACAGAAGTTAAGTCTTCCCATGGTGGACCAGGGCACTCATGTTTTCTCCACCCCATCTTTCTCTAGGGGGTGACGGAAGAAAAGGAGGAGCAGTTCCTGGGACAGTTTGTTTTCCTGGCACCACTGAATCCCACCCAGACCTTTCGGCTAAAGGTACGGGGACAAAGAGGGAGGAGAACAGAGAGGGGAGGAGAGCAGAGGGGAGGAGAGGAGAGCTGCACTTTGCTGGGGAGAAGCTTCCGTGCCAAAGGGCTCGAGGCAGCATTCTCCCGGAGAATGCCATGTGCCATGCTGTCCCTCCTTCTGCTTTAATCTCCTAATGGCATATGCCTGGAATGCATTCTGCTTCACTTTTGGTTTTAAGCTTCAGTGCTGACAACCACCGGTGCTGAAGCTGAAATCAGCTTGGCTGTCTGGACTCCAAGTGCCTACAGGTGGCCACATCCACTCGGAAGACACTGCTACTGGCCTGCTCGTTAAAGACTAGAAATACGGGGCTTTCTGAGGATGCTGTTGTTTCTGGTATCGAGGCCAGCTAGACAGCGAGGCCATTCTGTGCCATGGCTTTCTAGAGAAGGCAATGAGACATGATAGGGACACCACTGGGTCTTCTGACAGGGGAAGCATGTGCCCCAAAGTAGGCTAGAAGTGATTGCCAATCGAGTCAGTACAATTTCAGGTAGATTCCTGAAATTTCCTTTCCTGTTCTTTTGGCCAAATGAGGTAGAGCAGTGGAAGAATGTCTCGGCCACAACCCTCCCAGGGCAGTCAGGTGTTGAACAAGTCCATTGCTGCAGCACTACGTCAGTAGTTGAATGCCAGAGAGCAAAAGACAACTCATCTCTTCTCTTCCTTTCAGAACGAGCTCTCCGGGTTTGTGAATTACATCCTGCTGCAAGTGCTGAGCAACTGGGGCCACCCGGACTACACCTGCGTGTATCGGTTCAGGGTGCACGGTGATCCTCTCAGCGAGGAGGGGAAGGTGCCACTTCGATCTGACAACAAAGCTCCTTGATTGTCATTGAGTGTTTTGCCTGTGATAATAAAGCTCCTTGATTGTCATTGAGTGTTTTGCCTGAGATGCTAACGGGTAAGAGAATTCCTGCCCTTCTCTCCACCCACAAGCTTATGGGAGACTTCCCTGGAGGGAGAGGTGATGGGAAAAAGGACTAAGAACTGTTTCCTACGGACACATTAGTTTGGGGGGTTACACACACAATGTGTGTGCAGTTCAAGTGAAAAAAGGCTCCCGAAGACTCCAAAACGGGCAATAGGGAACCCCAACGTTTACCCTTAAAGACTCCCCCCATCTTTTTGACCCCAGTATAGTCCCTGGGTCCCCAAAATATAGACCAGGGACCTCCAAATGCCAGCTCAAGTACTCCTAAAATGCCCTTTGGGGACCCAAAATGGCCCAGGGACCCCAATATACCCCTCAGGGACCCCACCAGATTGGCCTTAGGGATCCCAAAATTTACACCCTGGGATCCCCCAAATCCTTTTGATGCCAAAATAACCCCTGGGGAATGCCAAAATACAGCCCATGGATCCCCAAATCCCCCCAAGGCCTCCAGAATGCCCTTTGGGGACCAAAAATGGCACCAAGGACCCTCAGGTTGCCCAGAGAAGTGGTAAATGCCCCATCCCTGGCAGTGTTCAAGACCAGGTTGGACAGAGCCTTGGGTGACATGGTCTAGTGCGAGATGTCCCTGTTTTCAGGGGATTGAAACAGAATGATCTTAAGGTCCTTTCTAACCCTAACTATTCTATGATAATACCCCTCACAGACCCCCCAGAACAGCTCAACGCCCCCAGACAGGCCCCCAGCAACCCTAAAACTCCGCAGGAAACCCAGACTCCCCAGAGATCCCCAAACAGGGCTGTGGGGCCTTCCAAAACTCCCCCCCTAGAGATTCTTAAATGGCTTACAGCACCCCAAAATGGCCCCAGAAGAAGTCAAAATGGCCTCCAGAGACTCAAAAATGAGCCTCAGGGACCCCAAAATCCTTCTGACGTGAAAATAATCCCATGAGGTGCATCAAAATCCCCCCTGGGGCCCAAAACTCTTTTGCACGGACCCCAAAACACACTTCAGGAGACCAAAAATGGCCCACAGAGACCCCAAAATACAGCTCAGGGTCCCCAGGATCGTCCCCCGCGGCACCAAAACCCCAAAGGAACCTCTCCAGCACCATGGTAGACCCCAAAGAAGTCTCAGGGGCCCCCAAATTCCCTCCAGAGAGACCCCCAAAATGAGGCTCACAGACACAGAATGTCTCAAAAAACAGTTTGGGGACTAAAAATAGCACTCAGGGACCCCAAAATGGCCCCTAAGTAGCCCCCAAATCCTTCTGACTCCAAAATAAAGCTAAAGAACCCCAAAAGTGGTCCTCAGGAACCCCTAAATTAACCCTTGGGGATCCCCTGATCCTTTTGATCCAGATCCTTTTAACCCCTGAGGAGCCCCAAGCTCAGGAACCCCAGAATACCCCAAGAACCCCCAGATTCCCTTTGGGGACCCAAAATAGCCTCAGGGTCCCCCAAAATATAGCTAGAGGACCCCAAAACCCGCAACGCCCCCAGGGACTCCCTACGGGCCCCTGATACAGGACACAGGGATCCCCAAATCTTACCTTGACATTAAAGTGGCCCCAGGAACCCAAAAATGGGCTTCAGGGGACCTAAAATGGCCTTTAAAGACCTAAAAATACATGTCAGGTATGCAAAAAATTAGCATTAGGGACTCTAAAATACACTTTGGGGACCCCAAGTTACCTCAGGGACCCCCTAACTCCTTATGACCACAAAATACAGATCAGGAGCCCTCAAAATGGGCCTTAGGGACCCCAAAATTTACCTTTAAGTAAATTCCTAATTTTTTTTGAGCCCCAAATAACCCCCAGGGACTCCTAATATACAGCCCAGGGACACCAAAATCTCTTCCAACAGTTTTGTGCTACAGTAAATTTTGGGATCCAGCTTGTTGTGACAGAGCACCTAGTTTGTACTGGGAGGCATTAAAGGCATCCAGTTCGTACGGGGAGGAGAGAAGGTGATTCAATTTGTACTGGGATCAGGCCAAGTCTGTACTGTGTGGTCTTAAATGGATCTAGTTTGTATTGGAATAGGCCTCCCTCTGTACTGGGAGGGGTCAGGGGATCCAATTTGTATTGAGAATGTGTCTGTTCTTTACTGGGAGAGTACCTGGGGAACCAACTTGTGCTGGAAGGCTACAAAGGGCTCCAGTTTGTACTGGGAGTGTGCCCATGCTGTAGTGGGTGAGCTTAACGGATTCCATATGTAGTGGGACAATCCCCAGTCTATAATGGAAAGGGTTTTCAGGGGCCCAGTTTGTACTGGGATCTACTTTGTACTGGGAAGTGTGCCAGTCTAAAACTGGAAGGAGATCAGGAGCTTGGAACTGGATGAGCTTTAAGTTCCCTTCCACCCCAAACCATTCCATGATTCTGTATTCCCTATTGCTGTCATAAGGTAAATGTTTAACTTACCAGAAGCAGTATAAGATACTGGTGATTGTACTATTGTTTGTGACAGAAGTTTTATTGACACTGAGAGTAGATATTTCTTGTTAACAGCAAAATGCAATCACACTCTGAACTGGGTGATTCAACAGGATGGTACTGAACAGACACAAAAGCAGTCAATTTATCAGTTCATACACATCAGAAAGTCAGTTAAATCACTTCTGCTTCAGTACAGGATAGGAGCTACACCAAATAGGATCAGAGAGATGCATTTTAGACATTTGTTTTGCACAGGAATAAGGCATGATCTTTGCAGACTTTATTTCTCTGTTATTCGAGTGATGGCCATCTTGTTTAGATGCTGAGGTTGGAAAGGACAGAAAGAGGTGATCTTCATTCTCAGTGTTACCAACTTGCCATCTGGGCTTGGGAAATACCAGACTAAAATACTGGTGCTAAGACCAAACCAGTGTGTTTGGGAATGCCATTGCTGGGCATTATGATTTATGACCTCATCCTTGTCACCAGTGCAGGCTCATGCTGCAGTACAGTACTCATCTCAATCTGCTATCTCATCTTGACTCACAAGAGACAAAGCTTCACAGAGGGGTCATGGCAGATGAAATCCCTGCTTGATGCCCAGAGGAGATGGGGGCCATCTATTTTTGCAGTACGTTGTCTTTCAGCCCCAACTCCTCCAGATGTCCTTTTAATGAAGTTTCCTGTGAAGAACCCCATTTTCTGTCAAAATCTGCTTTAGTACAGTCCTGTTTAATAACCTTCTTATACTTCACTGTCCCTGTAAAGAGGATGACTGCTCTGATGATTGCCCCAGAGAAAAGGAATGTGTACAGAGAGGCTCCTCCTCCCTCCATTGCTTGACTTGATAAGCATTTTAACTACTAATAAAGTTCCAGTCCCTGTCACTACACTCAATTATTCACAGCAATGGACAGACACAATGTCAGAGACACTGACAGATCGTGAGTGGTTTATACAGAACCAGGAAACATCTGGAACCTAAGGCTAGTACTGCTTTACTGCTATATGCTGAATCGTCCCTCAACAAAACTGCTACTATAAGTTACAGATCACTGGAAGAGATCTGATATGAACAAGAAGGACAAATAATTTAATGCACTGAAAGTTTTCAGCCACATTCAACCTTTCCTGGTTCCTGTGGTCACTATGCATTCTTCCTCCACGGCATGTGAAGACCCTTACTGCTTGCTGGTGAGTGGGGGTGAGGAATTCTGAGAGTACAGGTGTAGCTGTTCGTACACATTGATTTCTCCTGTCACACTCTTTGCACTCCCATGTCCGCTGGTAATGCTTTCCGGGCTGCCCCGATTCTGCCCTGTGCCAACAGTGCCTGGTGGATGGGTGAGGATACTGGTCCTGCTCCCGCAGGGAGGAGTGGGACGGAAGAGGAGCGGGAAGGGGCAGAGGAGGGGCAGGCTGTGAAGGTGCAGTGCCCTGTGGTGTGTTGGAGCATCTCTAATTCGGTGTTTGGAGCCATGGTCTGGTTCTGCTCAAGGGGCAAGTAGGTGTAGGCAGAGCTCTGGTCTGCCATGAGGTGGTTTGTGCCATCTCATGTTCTCTACTGAGCTGAATTCTGTAAGCAGGCTAATAAACCCAAGCTCCTCTCTCTTGCCTCAGAGAATCTCTGTCTGAGATACAAATGTAACACTGAAACTTGAGCACAGATTTTACCAATGAACAACCAGAGTTACAAAGCAATTACCATTTCTGAGTTACCTGGTGACCACCAATGGAAATCTGCACTTAATCACTACTAATTCACACAGGAAAAGCATTTCTTTTAATAGTAATACCCAAGGTCTACTACTACTGAGAAGAGCAATCCGTCCCCCAAATCCCTATCTCAGACTTACCGAAACTCAAGACTGTAGGATCGGTTGTTACCATGTGCTACTATATTGTCCTGATAGTGGTCACACTAAAGAAGCCAAAATGTTACTGTCATGGTACTGTAATTTATTTTGATATTTATTTTTTGTTAAACCCTTTTCATTTGAGAAATTTTTGGGGAATTACCTGTGTGTTTTTATAAAAAAGGATATACTTGGGTGCAGTTGTCAACCATAAGGAGGAGGAGGATGATGAAAGTTGGTATCAAATGAGACCTGGCCTTGTAAATCCAGTTTCTCGGGAATAGTGGTTTGCTCAGTTTTAATTTATATCTCAGCTTGTCCTAATAAACAGAGCTGTACTTTTGTGTCCCACTTCAGGCACCCATTCCTCATACATGCAAATGATTCAAAGGACTGGTGCACACAACAGCATAACACATCAGAAGCAGTCTTACACCCCTGAAAAATGTCTTCCCAGGCTCACAAAAGCATGTCTTGTGTTTGGCAGCATTAATCTCATACGACGTTTAGGTAAGATCTAAATCTTCAGTAAACACCATTTTTGACTAATGGCTGTGGTCCAATTTCTGCCCTCAGATATGCATCTCCAGTTCTTTATCCATTGATTCTAGAGGAACTAAAGTGTAGATGTTTGGGGATTGTGTGTAGTCCTCTGCAGGGATGAGTGGGACCAGTGACTGTATCCTCCTGTGTAAGATTAAAATGAATGTACTGCAGATTGGAGTTAATTCATGGAAGAGTTGTCTTCGTAAAGTCTTGCTCAGCCCCTTTTCTTATTGTACAGACTTTACATAGAAGTAAAGCTGTTAACTTAATGATCCCTTAAACAAAGACATCAGAGGAAAGAGGAATGAACTTTCTCAAGTACAACAATCTTTAATGTAGAAAGATCTTCAGTCTTGGGTGACATGGTTTAGTGTGAGGTGTCCCTGCCCATGGCAGGGGGATTGGAACTGGATGATCTTAAGGTCCTTTCCAATCCAAACCATTCTATGATTCTATGATACAAACTCTTTAATGGTAGAGGATGTAAGTTGCATCACTGCAGCTCCGTGTGGACCAAATGTCAGCGAAGTACTTTCTGCTGTATGTGTATGAATTAAGGATGGCGAACTATCTATAAAGACAAAGTAGCACTTAAACACGAACAGAATCATTACTGATGCAAAGCTATTATTAATAATCCAAAGGTTCAAATTTGGTAGTCTATGTGCACTTGAAAGACAGAGAGAAGAATGGACCCCAGCATTTCACATACTGATATGTTTTGCAAGTTACTGAAATAGTGTGGCAATCTGCAAAGTGATCCTTCCAGTGAGTGCAGCTATTTCCACAGCTCTTGCTGTCAGTGTATGCTGCTGTGGGTAATTGTCTTAAATCTTAGAATCATAGAACAGTTAGGGTTGGAAAGGATCTGAAGATCATCTAGTTCCAACCCCCTGCCATGGGCAGGGACATCTCACAGTAGACCATGTCACCCAAGGCTCTGTCCAACTTCCTTGGGCAACCCATTCCAGTGCCCCACTGTCCTCACAGTAAAGAACTTCTTACTTAAGTCTAACCTGAATTTCCCCTGTTTCAGTTTGAACCCATTACCCTTTGTCCTATCGCTACAGTCCCTGATGAAGAGGCCCTCTCCAGCATCCTTGTAGCCCCGTTCAGACACTGGAAGCTGCTCTGAGGTCTCCACGCAGCTTCTCTTCTCCAGGCTGAACAGCCCAAACTTTCTCAGCTTGTGTTCATATGGGAGGTGCTCCAGCCCCCTGATCATCCTCATGGCCTCCTCTGGACTTGCTCCAACAGCCCTACGTCCTTCTTATGATGAGGAAACCAGAACTGCACACAGTGCCGCAAGTGATGTCTCATGAGAGCAGAGCAGAGGGGCAGGATCACCTCCTGGACTGGTGTTTTCTTTGGACATAGTCTGACAAAAAAAAAGCCCAGAAGCAGCGAGAGGCAGCACAGAGCAACAAAGCAACAGAGAAAAAAACTGAAGCCTTCCAGAAAAGGAAATAGTAACATAAAATAAGTGCGTTTTCCATATGAGGCATCTTTGTAACTGCTGGATAGTGAACTTGGAAACAAATCGTACTTTCTGCAGTGCTGTTCTTCTATCTCTCTGGCAATGTTTTCTGCTGTCATTTCATTTATACTTTGCCAATTTACCTTGGCTCAGCTGTGAGAAGTGAACTGAAGAGTGTGAGAGAAGGTCTTACGTATTTCAAGCTACTGTAAAAAATTGCAGGCTGGATTGCAATGGATTATCTGAAACTTACTGAGTTTGGTTTATTTCCAGTCCACAGCTGATTCAGAGGATACAATAAAACATAATAACGAAAGATGCTGAAAACACATCCAGGTGCAACCTCCTAAAAGATTAAGAGGTTGTGAATGAAGATGCAGCATGAATTAAGGACCTCCCGGATAACCCCCCCCAGTTGATATACTGGGCATGTCGTGCTGTGGTATGGAATACCCCTTGGCTAGTTTGGATCTGGTGTCTTATCTCTTTGTCGTCCCGGCCGAAAAGGTGGACTTATCACCAGCACCTGCAGTACCGAAAAATGGCCATAGGACAGCAGCAGAGAGGGGCTCCCGGAGCCACCCGCACCCCGCAATCACAACCACCTGCAGTACTGAGTTCTGACCACAGGACGGCAGCAGGGAGCAGCGCCAGGCGTCACAGCGCATCCCGCTCATCACAACCACCTGCAGTACCGCACTCTGGCCACATAATGGCAGCGGCTAGCGCTCCCCCCGCGCACCCTTCTATCTGCTATACCGAGTTTTGGGGGGGGGGGTATTCTCCCTCCCGCCCCAACCATCGCAGACCCAAAATCATGTTTTTTTTTTTTTTTGCTCTGGGTGTCTGTGGGTCACTGTGGGGTGTCTGTGGGTTTCTGTAGGTCACTATGGTGTGTCCACGAGTCGCTAAGTGTTGCTGTGGGGTGTCTACGAGTCGCTCTGGGACCTTATGAAATGTCTATAGGGAGTCCATGAGGCTTGGGGTCCTATAAGGGATCTGGGGGCGGGGGATCTATGGGATGTCCAGGGGTTGCTCTGGGTCGCTATGGGATATCTAGGAAAAAAAAATGTTACTAAAAGTGACTAAACCAAATTGGAAGAAAACTGAGTGAAAAGTCAATAAAAGGTGAATAGTGATTAAAAAGTGAATTAAAATGAATAAAACTGAATAAGCCTGAATGAAACTCGAATAAAAGTGAATAAAAATGAAAGCAAATAAAAGAGTCAACTAGTGTTGGGGTACTTATGGGCACCAACAAGAAGGAAGTGTAGCAGAAGGACCAGGAGACCTCCATAGGTGGATAAGGAGCTGCAGAGGAAACTTAGTGGGGGAAAAAGAAGCTTATAAAAGGTGGAATCAAGGACAGGCAGCCTGGGAAGAATACAGGGATGTTGTCAGGGAAGCTAGGGAACAGATGTCCTGGGTTCAGCAGTAGCAGTCATTTTTCTCCTTCTTAGTAACTGGTGCAGTGCTGTGGTTTTGACTTTCAGCCTAGGAACTACACTGGTAACACTGATGTTTTTAGTTGCTGCTCAGTAATGCTTACTCTGACCAAGGACATTCTGAGTCTCATGCTCTGCCAGCGAGGAGAGGAAGCCGGAAGGAAGTCAAGACAGGACACCTGACCCAAACTAACCAAAGGGGTATTCCATACCACAGCACATCATGCCCACTATATAAACTGGGGCCAGTTACCCAGAAGGGTTAGATCACTGCTCAGTCGAGCTGGGTATCGGTTAGCAGGTGGTGAGCGGTTGTATTCTCTTCCCTTGTTATTTCCCTTATTATTATCATTGGTGGCAGCAGTAATAGTTTTTGTTATACCTCAGTTACTG